CTGGATGTATTTGTGTGTGTGTTTGGGCGTCGATAAGTCGAGTCCATGTGTTATTCTCTCTGTGTATGTGGAAATTGGAGTGTTACATATGTATATCCATTGATATGAACTCCTAATAAGTGTGCATCTGTGTGTGTGTGTGTGTGTGTGTGTGGACGTGTTTTTCCTGCTACGTGGGGACTTCTTCCTGACTCCATACCAACTCATGAGGACCCATTTCATGGTGGGGACCTAAATTGAGGTCCCCATGGGCAAGAAATTGAATTTTAGGGTGGCAACATGGTTTAGGGTTAGGATGAGGTTAGGGTTAGGTTAAGGTTAGGGTCAGGGTTAGGGTTAGGCAAGTAGTGGTTCTGGTTAAGGTTAGGGTTAGTCTACAGGAAATGCATGTAAGTCAGTGTAAAGTCCCCATGGACTACGAAACATAAACTGAGTGTGTGTGTGTGTGTGTGTGTGTGTGTGTGTGTGTGTGTGTGTTTTAGAGTGAGTATCAGGAACAGAGAGAAGGAAGAGTGAGATTGACAGGCTAAATTGGAATGGTAAGGGTTTTGAGGTTGAACACTGGGTTTAAAACAGCCGAGAGAGAGGAAGAAAATACCCCAACGTGTTGCTAAAAAAAAAGTCTTTCACTTGGGGAAGTGTGACAGTGGATGCCAGTGTGGGTGGATATGGAGAACGAAATGAGGCTGAGCAGGAGGATAGGTTGTCACTGAGGGCGAGGGGTGTCTGCTCGCACGTAGTCAGAGGGAAGGAAGGAAGCATGGCCCGGCAGAGGTGTTTGTGTGTCGAGAGAGGGGAGGAGGGGTGAGTCATGGAGGGCATGGAGGTGCCACGGCAAATAGGTGACCCGCAGCTGGAGACCGAAGGTTCAGCACCTGCACAGGTTGGCTGGGAGATTAACACATTAAGACATGGCACACATATCAACAACAACCTTCACACACACAAAAGGACAAGTACAACACACAGGATTGATGCACTGAAGAGCAGGCATAACACATAGATACTATACATACTCCCTACTGTACACAAACACAAAGTAGTGTAAAAACGTACACACACACACACACACACACACAGAGGACATGGTGACCTGCTTGTTTGTGGGTTCTCCAGGCAGCTGAATACACAATAGTGAATTCATGAATACAAATCACACTCAAGGTTGAGATACACACTAATATTTTCACATCAGCTCAAACTCTATTTTAAACACATCACTTTAATGTAAACCAGTGTCAGTTCTGTCAACAACAACAAGAGTAACACTAAATAAAATGCAAACTCCTGGTAAGTAAAACAGTTTAGCATTAGACAGCAACACGTAAAAAACAGCTGAAACCAACTACGAAAGTGCAGACAACACAGTAATTTAACATGAACTGCTACAGTTTAGATGTGGCTGTAACGTTAACACTACTTTCTGGTTTCCACCTTGTTCAGGCAGGTCCTTGGGAGCTGTGTCGCACCAGACACGACACAGGCCAAAACTGAGATGGATATGGTGTTCACAGGTTCATTTATAGCCTTGTTCATGCAATTAACCTTGGAAATGGATGGCTGTCGCACACGTCAATTCAAAGTACAGAGTTGGACTTAATATTTAATTTTTAAAATCTATATTAGTCAGTACATCTCGCTGCTTTGGCTGATTTATGCGCTGGGTAAGGAGAGCTTAGCTACAATACCATGACATGCTACATAGGCAGAAAAATATCAAAAATGACCGCACACTGAAGGCTTACTGATGTGTTTAGAACATTTAGCCAATATTTCAACCCTCCAGTCTTCTTCAGGACAAGAAAGCTGCAGGGGTACGTCAGTCGGGCAAGGCTGTAAAACGGACTGTGCTAACATTAACTTCAGTGCCTCACTTGGACAGCGAGACTGTTGGCGAGTCCTCAGATGTGTTGTTGTATTTGTTTAGACATCTGCTTTTTGCAGAGTTGGCACACCATTTACCTTGATGCTGTTATTGTCCAGTCACCACAGCTTTGCTCGTTACTGTCCCACATTTTGTCCTTGCAAACATAATGTTACTAGCTTAATTCACTGGGAGGTCAACAGGACATGTAACTGGTCAAGATGATGGTGAATTTTAAGAACGTCCTCTTCTGGACCACAAGGCAAATTACATCAAACGGTTTGTTGCACTTAGTGACATAGCGTACATTGTTGAATTCAAACAGGTCATTACAGTTCGTATTGGTTCTTATTTTAACCACGTTCAAATGAATGATAGAAATTCAAATAAAAAGTGATAGCCCTAGGCTGTAATAATTTTTGTTGCAATGTGATTGGACTTTGGACCCTGTGTTTTCACTATGGTCTGTCAAACCTCTTTGTTTTTTATTAAACATGAGCTGAGGTGCCAAACATCTCAACTTAAAAATAATACAATTATTGTAAGATGGTTTCAATCATTTGAGCTTTTAGTGGTACTGTGGAGGGATTGTGTGTTGTTGCATTTGGAGCTAAGATTCGGATCAGGGAAGCTTCACTCGGTGATCTGTTATCTGCTGTGACATGCGCATCAGTAAACACATTGATTAAGACAAATGATCCAGGGCATTTGAAAGGCTTCGGAAAACAATGAGGGAAGTGGAAGTTACTGGAAAATGTGTTTAGTGGATTCAGCTTCATGAACGTCAGATGCTTTGTGCTGCGAACACACACACACGCACACACTCTCGCTTGCGCTCTCTGTTGTCCCCATTGTTTCTCTGTTATCTTTTGAAACTGAGGATGACTCAGTATGACACATCATTTGAATACACATGCAAAATTATTTGTCCCCCAGACCAAAGCCAGCATTTTTGTTAGTGTGTCTGTTTGTATTTATGTGTGTGTGTGTGTGTGTGTGTTGACCACCTTTCAGACTCTTATAGACTTCCCAGTATTGCTTTTTAACAGCAGAAGTTCTTAAGTGGATGTGTTTAGGTTTGAGCTTCAGTTTGAGCTTCAGTACCAATATCTGTATCTGAAAGACAGAGACTTATAATAATCACCTTTATTTGGCCAAATATGTTACACACAGGGGCAGCACGGTGGCGCAGTGGTTCTGGGTTCGGGCCCCACCCGGGACCTTTCTGTGTGGAGTTTGCATGTTCTCCCTGTGCTTGTGTGGGTTCTCTCCGAGTACTCCGGCTTCCTCCCACAGTCCAAAGACGTGCAGCTTAGGTTGATTGGCCTCTCTAAATTGCCCATAGGAGTGCGTGTGTGTGATTGTTCATCTATGTGTTAGCCCTGCGATGGACTGGCGACCTGTCCAGGGTGTACGTTCTTCGCCTGATTGCCGGCCGGGATTGGCTCCGCCTCCGCCCCCTGTTGGGAGACGACCGCTCTACCCACTGAACCACAGTCGCGCACACACACGTGTCACATCGTGTCCAGATCCAAGGAGATCCTCATTAGATTATCTGAGGTTTTTACTAATATATTGTTCATGTATTTACATCACCTTTCACACACGCACTCCTTTCTGTTAATCAGACGGCATCCAAGTCCTTCACGTCTGAACGAGCACCCTGGTCACTATACCGTAAATGTTGTGATGGCAGTTTTACTAGGTCAGACCTATTTACCTTTATGTATCACTTTCAGAACAGCACAAGTCTGAACGGCATGCAGTCACATTAACAGGATTATGACTCACTAACGTAGGATGCTGGGAAGCAGATACATCTCTGAAACTGTCAGAGCAAACTTCCAAATTGACTGACCACATATTAAAAATCTACATGTTGATTTTCTGTGGCATAATATCTGTAACCACTCTGCCACTATACATTATACATCACTTGATGTACCCCAAACGTTGTGCGTGTACTCTGGCGCTGTCTGTGTCTGAGTGAAGCCATGAGGAACCTCAACATATGTCTGAATGCCAGAAAGCTGTTGCTTTAACCTCCTGATGAAGCTGGCAGTGTCAGTTTTCCCATGTCTGAAAAGGGCATAAATGTACTCTAAATATTAAAAATACTTCCCAGTAGACTACAATATCTTCAAACAGCCAGTAGAAGTTTTCCTAAATAAAGTTCTGTCTGAACTGCCAACAAACTTGTGATTTAAATCAGATTCAGTGTGATTAAAGAAAAAGTAAACTGTGAATCTGACCACATACTCAATGTCAGCTCTCAGTACTTGACAGTTTTCAATACTTAGACAAATTTCAGTGGGTACCATCACATTTGGAGGTTCAATACCCAGCCCTTGTCCATAACACATTAATCTTTATTTCCCACAAAAACAATATAAACACTCTCACACTCACTCTTCATTACTTGTCCCATATATAGTGTGTCGCACAGCCTGAACAAACTTTGCACTGATTCTGATGTGATACGTCAGAATCTAAATTAAGGCCCTGACACACATTCTTTATCACACTCAGATCGAGACACACACCCTGTATTCAAGTGGTGAATACATGACTGAATAGTGAGGGGATAGTGTACTGATAGATGGACAGTGAACGTAGAGTTTCTGCCAGTAGAATGTCAGTGCCATCATTTTCTCGCAGCCTACAGTCTTGGTACTCAAACTTCTGACAAACAGGGAGAAAGGCAGAGGCGTGGGGAGGGGGGAGTGAATGAGAGAGACCAAATTTGGTAGCTGGCAGTTGATGGATGGGCTGCAAACAGCTCGTCTTTCTCTGGACTCCATGATAACATGGCGTTCTCTCTTCTGCTCTCATCCATTTCTGTCTCTTGCTTTCTCTCTGTACTTGTTTTTTTTTTTCCCCTTCTCAGGAAAAGGCGTCTCCTTTTCCTGTTTGCCTCCTCAACTCTGAGATGCCTTAGAGCTGCTGATTTGCGAAAGCCTGTATTTTCTTTTGCTTCTTTTTATACATGTTTGCTAAATGTGTCTTTTTGCTGCACCCCGAGGAAACACTTGAAATCTAAATTATATCTCTCCTGTTTTCTCCTTTCCCCCCCCACTTCCTATCTTCCCTTTTCATCCCATTTCTTTTCATCTCATTCTCTCTGGCTGACGGACAGTTGGCAAGAAGAACCGTGGGTCAACAGGTAAAGAACCCATTTACATTTACATTATCTGCCCTGCTCGTTCTTTCCGGCTTCTTCTTTCTCTCCATCTTTCATACAGAGGCAAATATTGCTGTGGCTCTTTGCTCCCAGCAGAAGATCAGAGTTAAGGGCTGCTCAGCTAAATGCTTTGCTGCAGGTCACACTGGCAGTAGTGGGTACACGCTGTAAAAGATGTTCCACTAGTGCGGCTTCAGTGTTTCTGCCTTATGACTCCTAAGAATAACGTACAGTGCTACCACCTCTAACCTCAAGCTGCCGTAGGCCAGCGTCTGTTGGGTATACAGCAAAATAAACTGATGGTGCACGCTTTTAAAAATTTAACAGCTTTTTTCCTCCAGTAAAGGTCCTCTGGTGTGCGACAGCTTCCCCTCTTACAAAAAGCTGTAAACTACTGTAGCTTATGTAAAATACTGTAGCTTTCACTGTACAGACTGAGTTTATTTTTTGTGACTTCGATTTGCTCACCATATGGTCATTTAGATGTTTGTTAAGCAAGAGCTGGAATGGATCCCTGCTTGGCAGTATTGCGTTTTACCTTTCTTCATCTCAACGAGACTAGGACCAAATGCATAATTTTTGGGTCACATTTCATCCAAGGCTGTACTGATGTGGATTTGGGGAACTCTTGCCTTTCGTACTCACCCATTTGTAAAAAAAAAAAAAAAAACGTGGGTGTGAAATTTGGTAGTGGGCTGAAATTCAACAGACAAATTAAGTTTTTTGTAAAAGCAAGCTTTTTTCAGCTTCTTCTTTTAGCCAAGGTGAAGAGAGAGCTGTTCATGGTTTTCTCAGCTCTTGGTGGGACTATTGTAATGCTTTATATACAGTGGTGTGAAAAAGTGTTTGCCCCCTTACTGATTTCTTATCTTTTTGCATGTTTGTCACACTGTAATGTTTCAGATCATCAAACAAATTTAAATATTAGTCAACGATAACACAAGTAAACACATCATGCAGTTTTTAAATGAAGGTTTTTATTATTAAGGGAAAACAAAATCCAAAACTACAAAACCCTGTGTGAATAAGTGTTTGCCCCCTAAACCTAATAACTGGTTGGGCCACCCTTAGCAGCAACAACTGCAATCAAGCGTTTTCGATAACTTGCCATGAGTCTGCCACAGCGCTGTGGAGGAATTTTGGCCCACTCATCTTGGCAGAATAACGGATGGCCGGACATTCTCCTTCAGGATATTTTGGTACACAGCAGAATTCATGGTTCCACTTATCACAGCATGTCTTCCAGGGCCTGAAGCAGCAAAACAGCCCCAGACCATCCCACTACCACCACCATATTTTACTGTTGGTATGATGTTCTTTTTCTGAAATGCGGTGTTACTTTTACGCCACACATAATGGGACACACACCTTCCAAAAAGTTCAACTTTTGTCTCGTCTGTCCACAGAGTATTATCCCAAACGTCTTGGGGATCATCAAGATGTTTTCTGGCAAAACTGAGACGAGCCTTTATGTTCTTTTGGCTCAGCAGTGGTTTTCGTCTTTGAACTCTGCCATGCAAACCATTTTTGCCCAGTCTCTTTCTTATGGTGGAGTCATGAACACTCAGCTTAACTGAGGCAAGTGAGGCCTGCAGTTCTTTGGATGTTGTTGTGGGGTCTTTTGTGACCTCTTGGATGAGTTGTCGCTGCGCTCTTGGGGTAATTTTGGTCGGCTGGCCACTCCTGGGAAGGTTCTCCACTGTTCCATGTTTTCGCCATTTGTGGATAATGGCTCTCACTGTGGTTCGCTGCAGTCCCAAAGCTTTAGAAATGGCTTTATAACCTTTTCCAAACTGATAGAGCTCAATTATTCTCTTTCTCATTTGGTTTTGAATTTCTTTGGATCTCGGCATGATGTCTAGCTTTTGAGGATCTTTTGGTCTACTTCACTTTGTCAGGCAGGTCCTATTTAAGTGATTTCTTGATTGCGAACAGGTGTGGCAGTAATCAGGCCTGGGTGTGGCTAGAGAAATTGAACTCAGGTGCAATAAACCAGAGTTAAGTTATGTTTTGACAGGGGGGCGAACATTTCTTCACACAGGGCTATGTAGTTTTGGATTTTGTTTTGCCTTAATAATAAAAACCTTCATTTAAAAACTGCATGATGTGTTTACTTGTGTTATCTTTGACTAATATTTAAATTTGTTTGATGATCTGAAACATTACAGTGTGACAAACATGCAAAAAGATAAGAAATCAGTAAGGGGGCAAATACTTTTTCACACCACTGTATTGGTGTAAACCAGTTATTGCCTTCATAGGGGTCTAAGGAAATATCATTACACTTGGGTATCGCGATATTACGTTTTGTGATACTGTATCAAATATTATGGTGGTGTGTTGCTTATTTTTTGACAGTTTCTCTAAAGTAGATGTTTTTAAAATTTGCAATATATCGCCTTGTTTACAGTATCACAACATATTGCAGTATATTGAATCGTAACCCCTGTATCGTGATATGTACCGTATGTATCGTATCACCAGTTTCTTGCTGATACACAGCCCTGTACTTTTCTACCTTTAGTTAGTCCAAAATGATGATCATTACTAAAACAGGTACATATGATCATATTATCCCTGTTTTACAATCACTCCACCGGCTTTTCACTACGTGGTAAAGCTCCATCCTGTTTGGCTGAAGATTTGGTTGCCCATAAACACTGTAGAGCTCTCAGGTCCCCCAACCAGTTTAATTGGACGCCTCGAGATCGAGGTGTAAACGATGGGGTGACAGGGCTTTTACTGTGGTTGCTCCCAAATTGTGGAAAGCCTTACCACCAGAGATGTGATCCATTTCTGACCAAGCACTTTTTAAAACAAAACCAAACACTTATTTATTCACTTTGGCATTTTATACCGAGCAGAGCTCTGACATCTTTTATCTTTCCTCAGTTGTGGTGTATATTCGTTTACCGTATTTTTTTTTGTGTGTGTGTGTGTTTTTTTACTTAATTGACTGAATTGGTCAAAGTTGGTTGTGTTTAATGTGCTATGTAAATAACCTTTTGATTGTACATTATTGTAAGACTGTCAAAGGAGTAAATCAGACAGAACCTGAGCCTTGGCATTACTTAACCTGTGTTTAGTCAGCAGAATCATGTGAAACTGATTATTATGGAAGTGTTGATATCTGTCATCCCCACAAGGTAGCATTACATTCAGCACACTAGGGAGCAGGGAGTGTCAATAATACTGTTGGCTCAGAGCCTTCAGGTGGATCCTGGGGTGGAGGTAGGACTGACGAGATGCCATACGAGCAATGGCAGCAGGTGTCAACAAAGCTTTCAGGCATGCAGAGTGTGAACAGGGCGCTGAGGTCTTACACACACCACCCTGGTGAAAAGGGTGCGTTGGATATACTGTACGTTGCCATGTGATCTGTCCTTTCCCCTACAGCCTTCAGACAGCCTCTAGCTGCAGACTCACACTGGCCCAAAACAGTTGTACATGCCACAGAAGTAGCAGCGTAACAGATTCTAGTTGATCTATGATCCGTTCCGATCCTCCACCATGTGGTTCGGCATGCACATCAACCTCTGATTAAATGCAAAGTTTTAAGCATCATAGTGCGAAATACACTTTTATTGCTGCTGTTACTTTTTAAAGTAATAATTCTGAAAATCTTGATGCAGAGTTGCCATGAAACAGACACAACAGTTGTGTGTTCACGCCACCATTAACAACAACATACATTGCATTGGTAAGCTTTATAGAATTTTGGCACCATGGAAACAGTCACAAACATCATTACCATTATGAAACAGTCACAGTTTCATTACGTTTGGGCTCAAACTATAGGTTCATGTAACAATTAAGTATTGAATATTTTAAGATTATATTGAAACACTGGGCTTTTTGTTTGTTTTCTGATCCAAGGATCTGATCTGTGACTTAAAATCAGGTCTGAACTGTGACTTTTCTGATCCGTTAAACTACATAGAAGTGTTTATCTCTGCTGACAACGCAGCCGAGATAACAGATAGCAGAGTGCTAAAAGCCCTTCATGAGTACATACTGTTATAATTACGTTTGTGCAATATTAAAATATACTTCTTTCCCGTATGGAGTACTAACTTTGTGCTGTTGTGTTGGTGCATTAATTTTTTCACTTAGTTTGGTAAGTCATTGCCTATGAGCCCTTGTCAAATGTTGACGATTTTCAGATAATAATCATTGAGGACTTGACATTGAGTGTCGATGTCAATGTCAAGTCCTTCGCTCTCTGCAGTGGGAAGTGGACGGTGCCAAGCATGTCATCCAATATTTTGAAGAATGTTACTGGACTAGACCCACTGAGTTTGTTTTGCTGTTTGGCCATGCAGTCATTTTTCTTCAGGATATGAATCAGGAATTGGAAGATGAAGTTTACATGCACAAACACAAAAACGGGATACTTCACGAACCTGATCATCTATGTAAACACACTCATTTGCTAAATAAGGAATCCAGTGGCGTTAGATTAAACCTCTGGCTTTTGTACAGTCTTTACAGGAAGCCTCTTAGCTGCCACACACACACACACACACACACACACACATCTGCCAGTTTCATTATTCCTCTGTATTTAACTTGAGGATGATTAATTAATTTTTTCACTTAGAGTTTGGTAAGTCATTGCCTATGAGCCCTTGTCAAAAGTTGATGATTTTCAGAATTAATGGGGGAAAAATAACTTTTCTCCGCTGCAACAAAAACATTTGCAGGCATGATGCAATTGCACCCGTCCTTATTTTAGTACAGTCATGATGAAATGCTACCTCGTTATGTCATTGTGGGTTTTGTGAAGCAGCCAAATAACCACAACTAATATAATGCTCAAAATTAATCTAATAATCATTGAGCACTCACAAGAGCTTAACTCCATCAGTGCTACATGTTTCTTGTTTCTTCTGCTCTTTCCTTTTTTCTCAACCATTCCATCACTGGTATGGCGTGATGACAGAGACAGATAGAAGGTTTGGCAGCTTAAGGAAGAGATGAATATTTAAAGTCAGGCATCTTTTTGTGTCCTCTCACTGCTTTCCATTTTCTCTGTCTCCCTTTGGGGCTTGGATCGTCTGCTCTTAGTGTGGTGCAGCTTTGTGTACATGTGTGTGTGATGCCATGGCTTGTAGTTTTATATTGGCATTCTGAGGCAAGTGTAGTCAGACGATGACACTTAGCTGTCAGCATGCAGCATTAATGAGCGCAGTGACACAAACACACCCCACTCTCACACACATGCCCTCTTCTCAGGAGAGATCAGCAAATGATCACTTTTTTCCTACATTATTTATTTTTGTATACTCTCCAAAAAGCTCTCTCAAATATTTTTAAAAAGCTTTCCATTTTCTTTAACCTCTTATTTCTAGTGCTTTTCCTTTCCATCTTTGTTCTCTTTCAAAATCTCACCCTCTTTTTTTTCCTCTCAAACTCTGGGCATGGTCTGAGTGTGATATGTGTAAGTTGGCTGTGAACCCTACAGACATATATCTGACAACTCTATTAATACACAGACAGTTAACACCAGCCACCTCCCATGTGCATTTACAGTGTGTGTGTGTGTGTGTGTTCAGCTCTCAGCCAGCCCCTCTGCTCTGTAGGTCTCTGCAGAGATTTGTCTGAAAGGCTTTAAAACACAGATCTCCAGTCATAGAGTGATCACACACAGATGCAGCTGCCTCGCTGACACTACAGGGAGTGTGGAGTGACTGACAGATTTAATAGGAGAACAAGATGTAATCTGAGAGAATCCACTCAAAGACGGATTACATTCTAATCTGTGGATGGAATAGCCTTTCATCTCCCTCTGTCCCTCCGTCTTTCTCTCTCGCTCTTTACTTATCATCTCTGTCTCGTTCCTGCCCTAAAGCTGCACCAGTCCTTTGACCAGCCCTGTTTTTTTTTTTATCTTTCCTATCCTTGATTTAATTTGGGATTTTTCTGCTTGCAGCTGAATGACACACACATACACTAACACAGCTGTGTCACCTCAGCAGCACTTTACTGTCAATTAGTAATGATTGCACTGACAAAAGCAATATAATGTCATAGTGTGTCACTGCCTCTTTGGTGCAAAATTATACCCACAGCAATGTGTGCAGATCCATGTAAAGTCTCAGAGTGAATGGTTTTTTTCTCCTTATAATCAGTTTTTGATTTTTCTTATCTGTGTTAACAGCTCTTCTTTTTTTATCATCATGATTTTTTTTAATGTATATTTTCAGCCCCAAGCTGTTGCTCTCTCCCTGCCCTCCGTCCCTCCACCACTCCTACTCTCCCTCTCTCTGCCACATGGTGTTTCTCACTGGTTACATGGACACGAGTATCTCACTTATTAAGAGTATCCCAGTTTTAATCATATTTTGCGTGTGGTGTTTCTATGGAACGCAGAGAAATCAGGTTATACATGTGATACAAACTAGTAGCCTGGTAAAATGACGCCTTCTAGCCTAAAGCTTCAGCCTCTCCGGCTGTGTCATCTTCTATAGGCTCTCTATTGCTAATGAATCCATTATGAATTGGAAAACATTTGGTATTTACGGTAGGCCTATTTGTTTTCCTTAATGAAAAAGGATGAGGATATTCATGCTAGCGCTAATAACCATTCAGCAACCTAATGCTACCTGGCTGGAGTTAATTTATCACCACTGGATGCTCAGCGTCTGTTGGACAGGAAGTGTCGATGTCAATGTCAAGTCCTCCGCTCTCTGCAGTGGGAAGTGGACGGTGCCAAGCATGTCATCCAATATTTTGAAGAATGTTACTGGACTAGACCCACTGAGTTTGTTTTGCTGTTTGGCCATGCAGTCATTTTTCTTCAGGATATGAATCAGGAATTGGAAGATGAAGTTTACATGCACAAACACAAAAACGGGATACTTCACGAACCTGATCATCTATGTAAACACACTCATTTGCTAAATAAGGAATCCAGTGGCGTTAGATTAAACCTCTGGCTTTTGTACAGTCTTTACAGGAAGCCTCTTAGCTGCCACACACACACACACACACAGTAACAGTGTCTGCCAGTTTCATTATTCCTCTGTATTTAACTTGAGGATGATTAATTAATTTTTTCTAATAATCCCTGTTTAAAAAACAAAAAAGAAGGTGATAAGGGGATGATAGGGATTAAAGAGAGGGAAGAGAGGCAGTAGGGAATGAGTGATACAGATGAGATGAAATGATAGATTTCCCCAGAGAAAGAGGATGTTAGACAGGCTGACAAAGAGAAAAGAAGAGCGCACATCACACAACCATATGGCATTTTGCTTTCCACTCTACTTCTACCATCATGTCTGTCACTCCAGAAAGAAGAAGACCATCTGCACAGTCCCCCCTCACTTTTCCCATCTACATATACTGTTCACTCCATCTCCCTCCTTTAAGTCCTTTCTTTTTCCTCCATGTTCTCCCTTGTGGCACCAGTGTTCCTGCTGTCCTGATTTGTCTGTCTGCTCCCCTCCCTTCGGTCCAAGTTAACAGGTTATGTTCACATCCCCCTCTGCTCATTATCTGGAGCTGCTGCTGCCATTAACGCTGCACTAATGACTACCAGTCCCTGCCTGAGCTCTGCTTCTCACAGTGGATAGCTAATGGACGCTCTGCTCTTGTTCTCTCTACTTCTGCCTTTGCCTATCATCGTCGCTGTGTTTGTTTTTCTGTCTTATACCCATTGTGGCTCTCGCCTTTACTTCTCCTACCTGTCAAATTATAACACATTGTACAAGGTGCTGCTCTCTGCACGATGAAATTGTGTGTGTGCATGTGTGTGTGTGTGTGTTATGGAAAAAGTGAGTGATAGAGACCTCCACTATCACTTCCCATCTCTTTTTTTGTGTCACTTCACTTATCTTCCACATTAATGACTCAACCTCTACCCTGAGTTAGAGCATCAGCAGGTGTAGGTGTCAAAGTCAGTCGAGTGTGTGTGTGTGTGTGTGTGGTATCATCTGCCTGTCTTCCTGTGTCTGCGTGTCTTACTCCCTGTGACAGTGGGTTAAGGCTTTTCAGCTCGTTCTCTCCGATTAAAAAGGAGACGAGAGAGAGAGAATGGAAAGGAGGCATAAAGAGCAGAGATTCAATTACCACCTTTTCCTCCTTCCGTTCAAAGAGGAGATCAAAGCGGCTTCTCGTCACCCCCTGCCTCCCCCTGCCGTGCTCCCTTCCTGCACCCTGACACCCCCAGCAACCCCTATCAGAGCTAGCCTGTTAATTTGTACTCACAACTCCTCCCTTATTGGAAAGCTACACTGTGTATCCATGGGAGGCCCAGTGATGTGCATGTACATGCACACACATACCCATAACAATAACACGTACGCTTCCTACATAAACGGATAAACTGTAAAACACTGATAAGCAGTGTTTTCATCTGCCTGTTGTGTTTTTTCCACTTGTTTTCTGAGCAGATGTTGCACATTTCAAACTGATAACAATCCTAGTGTGTCCTTTTTGTGCGAGAGGCCATTCACACTATAACTCGAACTCATGCACCATCATAATTTTGCACATACACCACCATACTCTCCTGCACATCTTTTAGGCCATAAATCTTTCTTCACATTCACCAGTGTCGAAGGATATTGTTTATATGAGAGAATTATGGTGTGTGAGTGTGTGTCTGTGTGAGATTGAAAATATTTTTGTGATAAGAGACAACAGCATCTCAGAAGTACTGGAAAGAATTATAGTTTCATTTCAGCTAGACTCAACACAATCACACGCAGTATGCTGCCTTTTTCTCTTATATGCTGTCAATCAGTGATTCAGTTTCCTAAATACGAGGCCTTGGAAGGTGTTAAAAAGTCTAATATTTCTGGTGACTGTTGGGAGAATGACGCATCTACAAAATAAAAGTGGGAATGTGACAACAGTAGATGAGCTGCAGGAGATAGTTTGGTCCTTTTTATGGACTTTAAATCGGCGCCATCAGACCGTAGCAACTAAAAATAAGCGCTCTGCAGTTTATATTGTACGTTTCTGTTTTATGGTCAGTTTGGAATTGATTTATTTTAGTAAAATATTTCTTCAATGAGACATTTTTAACACTGAAAGTTGCTGTATATGTGTAGTTAGATGCAACATCATTTTGTTCTGCTGTGTACCCTACTTGGTAAGTAAATTGACAATAAAGTGAATCTAGTTTGACAGTTGACTGATGTTTCTGACATGGTGGAAATCCATTCTGTCATTCATCATAAGTAGCTGTGAACAACCAGTTTGGGCTAAAATCTGGCTAAATACATGCAGTGTTGTCCCAGTGCTAGAAAAGAAATAGAACAATGGACATTGTGATAGTGCATAGAAAATGTATTGTGGAGAATATCAGAGGATATAACTGTGTGCATGTAAATGAGTACAGCAGTGTGTGTGAGTGACTTTTGTGATCTTTGATTGAGATTATGTTCCTGTGTGTGCACACTGTGATTTATAAGCTGCCTCTTCTCTCTCTCTCTGTCACAGCTCCTGAGTCAGAGCTTGCGGCTCCAGCAATTGTGATAGGACCCAAAGACACCACAGCGGTGGCAGGGAGCGAGGCTACACTGGAGTGCATCGCCAACTCCAGGTATGTTTTTCTACTGTATGTACACCCACGCTTTACTTCTGTCTTTGTGAGGACACTCAGTGATCTACATTCCCTGGCCCCGTACCCTAACACTTAACCATCAGAGATAAATGCCTAACCCCAGCCCAAACCAAATAAACCAACCAATCCTCAAAAAGGTGCTTCAGAAAGTGAGGAGCGGCCAAAGTGTCCTCACTTTCCAAAAATGTCCTCACTCTGTAGCAAAACAAAAACAAAACTTTTTTGGTCCTCACTATGCAGCAAGTACAGGAACACACACACAAACAATTCCTTTCTTGCTAGACAGCGCTGTTTTCTTCCAGGGTAATTAGAGGACTCCACATAAACTCAAAGCTCAGCAAGTCTTCCTCCCCAATATCAGTGTATAGACACACTGATGCACACAAACACACACACACACACACACACACACACACCAGTACCAAGTTAACTTACACAGAAATTGGATCGAAGTCCACACATGCACACACACTGACACAGGAGGTGCAGCCTAGTCTGGCTCAACAGTTGTTTTTCAGAGCAACAGCAAATTGTACTTAGCTTCATCCCTCTGACACACACTATCCAACCAGCGTCTGAGTCCCATACGAGTGAAAAAGGAACCGAACACTAGTTTATGTATACTTTATGTTAATCAGCATTTGTTTTGAACACAGCCTGTATTGTATCCATTCATTTCCTCTAAACAACCATTTTGGACAGACTCCAAACCCGTTTGTGAGTCATACAGCTATGGTGGCAGGAGGACAGTATAGCTGCAGTATGTGTAACTCCTCCACTACATGCCAGATTTTTCTGTAACGCATCCTGAGTTCACTGATGCCAGATCCCAAACACAAAAAGAACCTCACCGATACCATTTTAAAAATGCTCTCAGGGGCATGTGTTTGAATGGAGGATGAACGTTGGTGTAATGCAATAAAGTGACACCGAGGCTGCTTTGAACAGATAAAAGCACTGCCAGCTAGGATGATAGCAAGTCTGAGTTGTCTGGCCTCAACAGGTAGTTCTCTACTTACTTGCTCACCACACTATTTTGAGTTTCTCTGTGGGCTATTTGCACATGGTTTTTGTTGGTTTGTGTTATTTAGTCTGGGTTACTCAGGCTGCTTTGTTCTGTGAGAACTGACGTCCTTAAAATACCTTTCAGCGGCACTTGACCAGCACTTGACCACTGGGTAGCTCTCAAAGTATGATACAGAAGTGACTAAATATAGAATTGACACATACCAGGGTTCAAGCAAATTCTTAGCAACAGCATGTTGCGTTCCCATCATACAAGAAACAAAACTTTTTTTCATTCAACACCAAGTAATTTATTTTTATAGCTTGCTCCACTGGTATTATAACTGCAGACAAATCAGCTCCTGCATGTTTCTGCCTCCTCCACATGGACTGTTTCTGATATCAGAGAAGCACCCACTGACAGAGAAAACTCTCTACCCATGGAACAACAGAAAAAGTATCATTAAAGTTTGGGAGAAAGAAGAGTATAATCATCGACATCATGTTGTTGATGTCAGTGATGTGCTGAAGAGGAAAAGCATCTGCCATCCGGATCCATTAACCATTAATTAGTCAGTCCTGGCAGAGTGCTCAAATGATTAGGAATTTGATTGAAAACAAGCAGCGCCAGGAGGCTTAATATTAAGGGATGTAAGATTTGCTTTTTCAGTCTTCGGGCAAGTTTTGGATTCTCTTTGTTTTGTGGACCCACTGGGTACACATATTAAAACTCTGACATATCAGCCTAGCAGTAAGTTTAATTAGTTTTCCATTTAACTTCTGTCTTTACCTCAAGGTGTATTGTCTAAGACAGAAAGCAGCATACTCTCATCTGTATCCTAATAAAAGGCAAAGCATGTTCTTTGTCTGACATTTTGTTATTAACAGTTGCTGCATATTAAGCGGGTTTGGCTGCATTAATGACTTCTTACACATATTTGTTCTTTTACTAAATTGACCTGGTTTACATCCAAAAAATCACAACAGAAAATCTGTCACTTAAGTCAAAGATTGTCCAACACTGACATGACATGACTGAATTAGCAGCTTGTCTTCACCTCCATCCACAGATGTGAACATGAATCTCTTCTAATTGCCGTTCACTGTCACCTTCTTAGAAATAAAAATAATGAAGTAAGAATACCTTAAAACAACTTAACATGAATGATCTCTAAGCTTCCAGTTTGTTCAGTGTGACGGTAGCTGGTGTTTTATTTTATTCCATCTGTTTAATTTCTGTGGTTGTTTGTTTAATGACTCCTACTTCATTGGCTTAACACACCTCTCTAATATAAACCTAACTGTTATTATAATAGTTTAAGTAATTGTCCCCTAAATTATCTTTGTTGTTTATTGTGTTTTGTGATGTTGCTTTATCAACGAGTAGTCATGTTTGCATCATTACATTTTAATGTATTTTGGTAGTTGACTGTCTGGGACAAATCCCACTGTCATAAGTGACAACAGGCAGTTCCAGCTGCTGATTAGATAATTAGCTGTTGTCCTAGTAAATCAGCTGCAAATTCTAATTCAGAGTGCTTGTATAAACTGAAGTGTTGCATGTAAATACACCAGATATTGAAGCTGCAATTTTATGAATAGATACAGTGCTGAATTACACACACGAATGTTTTGATGTTGTGTATCCAAAACAAAATATCATTTTACATGAAACCTCATTCCCATTCTCCAACATGCACAGTCGCTGACTAAAGCTCCTTCATGCTGAGTAGAGCTGACTGCTCTGATATACAGACTGTCATCATTCATTTCCTGCCTCATTGACACCTAAACTGATGGATTTAATATGTTGTAATTGCCTTCTGTCACTTGTATGCTTTTTCTACAATTCTCCCCACTCCTACTATTCTTTCTCCCCTCCTCTCCTTTCCTCTCTTGTCCTTACCTCTCCTATCCCCTCACCTTTCTCCTCTCCTCTCCTCCCAGACCAGTGGAAGGCCTCTTGGTGTCATGGAAACGGGATGGGAAGGCCTCTTGGTGTCATGGAAACGGGATGGGCGTCAGCTGGCCAGTGGGCGTCGGCTCATTATTGCTGCCCCCACCTCTACTGATACAGGGTTATATGTTTGTGAAGCGTTGCTTAGCAACAGCACTGCCAGACCTGTGGAGGCAAGGGCACACCTCACTGTAATGGGTAAGAGAAAAGACAGTCAATCACTCAGTCACACACAAAGGCACAGATACACTGCCTAACATGATTATCCACGATTATTCTCGGTAGGCCTGATCCATTAAGACTAATGGTCTCAACATGTGCTATTAATTTCTCTTTTAACCTTGCTTTTGTCTTTTCTTGTACATTTTTTGCTCCAGGCTGTTTCCTTCTGTTTATTCCTCCATTTAGTCTTACTTTTCTCCTGGAAATGTGACTGTAAACACCTCGGGCAGGCAACGTTAACTACAGGACTACTTGAGCTGAATCTGTTGTCCACACTCACCAACAAACTGTCCAGTGTTGTCGCAAACAGTGGTTACACACAAATGCATCCAATGTGTGCTCGCAGATGCATGCATGTGCGGACTCCATGCTTATATACAATGACAGAATGGCACCACAGACACACGTGCCCAATTGCCCGGCAGTTAAATTAGTTTTCTTCCCTGGAGTCACCAATCAATAAGGGAACACTGAAAGCACTCAAACAAGAGTGCTCTCGTCACAGTCCGCTCCTGTCCTTGATATGTGTGCATAAATAGAAAACAGCATACACGCAGGCAGGGAGCGTGTGATTGATGAAGCGAAACTTTTCTCCCCCAGTTTGTCAGCGTCTTTTTGATCTGCTGCGATTGTCGGAGTGAGGGAGCACCTAATGCGGAGAGAGCAAACTACCCATGCCTGCAGAATACTCACTAGTTAGAAAAGACCTCCCTGAATTTTTATACCCCACTCCCTCTCTTTCTGTGCCCCCCTCGCTATCCACAACCAATTTTAGTACTTTCTTCTCTCTCTCTTCTCTTTCTCTCCACTCTGTCTCTTTTTACTTTATCTTCCTTCATTAGGCCAACAGGAGTGTTTAGGCTTGCCTGGCAGGGCCAAAGTCTGCATGCATTCATATGTATCCGAGGAGTAGAAACTGATGAATACGTCAGTACTGATCCTCTTTTTCTCTGCTATGGGCTCAACAGACCTTGATGCAATCAAAGGGATTCCTAAACAGAATAGTGTATGTGTTTGTGTGCAAGACGGAGAAATGCTCAAAGGTATTCATTATTCAGCTTCATTTCTTTTCTGCCCCGATCCACTAATCGGAATATGTATGACATCGCGTGCTCGTGATGTACATTGTCCAGGCGACTACTGATGCAACCAACAATATATCTGTTGTTGTTCTCCGTCTTTGTTTTGCAGGCAGACGGCAGAGAATCCATGAACTCTCAAATCTCTAAACCCAGCCACCCAATCACTCCAAAATGTGTTTTGTTGTGTTTGTGCATCTAGGTCCTTACACTCACCTGAGTGAAGGGGATTAATGCACCTGTGCTATCAGTGTCACGCCACATGGCTGCTATTCATCTCTCATTTTTTTGTTCTCCCCTCACCTTTATTCTCCTGTCAAAAACCATGCTGGATTCCATATCCAATATAGACAGGAGATGCACATGTGTGAGTTTAAAAGTTACCATGCAGAACTTTAAAGTCAGTTAGAATAAATGTAGCACCAACACAGGAGGCTACTGTGTTGTTGTCCTCACACACAAACACACACACGCCTGATCAAACCTGCAGTTTTATTTTGTTTATTGCTACGTCAGTTTACACATCTACTGTGCAAAGGCATGAAGGAGAAATTGAGAGAAATAACACTGGAGCAGTGGGAATTTATTGTCTCGTTTAAAGTACAGCAGCATTACAATGACAGCCTGGTGTCACAAACTGTATTATTGTATGTACTGTTACTGTGTAAGTACAGTATGGCGCTTTAGAAGAAAGTACAGAAAAACTTCTCCTCTTCTCCTCCAATCGATAAAAATTATATTTTTGTGACAGCCAGTATGCACATTCATTATTTAGTGCATACGCTGGACATTTCATTTTCCTCAAAGTCATTTTTCAGTGAACAGGTGCCGCTACTGTGTGGAGCCACTTTTCCAGAAATGCCAGACTGAAAATGAATTAGCCGGTCTGTCTCCCTCTCCCTCTCTCTGGGCTTGCTGTGTCAATATCGCTCTCTAAATATTAACAAATGTTTCTGAAAGAAATGGAGCATATATAGTAGTAGGCAATTTTTTTTTATAGCGTGTAGCATTATTCGAATACACCAAAAGGCATATAGTCACATTCAAATCGGGGAAAGTTTTATCTCTGAGCTGCTGTCACCATTTAGACCAACACTGGTGGAGATGTTTAGAAGGAGTGAAATGGAATAGTTTAAAACGGGGACTGTTTCCCTTGGGAAGCTCAGAGAATGTGTTTTTCTGTGACTTTGTGGAAGTCATTTCACAGTGTGCATAGACAGAAATTCTGCTTTGCAATGACACTCAGGACCAAGATGGGGACCCATTTTTACCCTGCAGTGCCAACTTCTCATCTCCAAATTGCTTCCTTATTAAAGAATAAATGCTTGGAGAGGGCACACTCTCCAAGATGTTTTCAGCTGTATAATGACTGAATATGTTTTTCAAGCCTTTTGTGAGGCCTTAGTTCAAACATGTTGCACACGGTATGGGGTGTTTGTTGTTTGTTTGACATCCTGTCCATATATTAATGCAGAACGTGCATTATAAAATGCGTTACATGTTTTGTTTTAACATTTTTCCCTGCAGAACCACCGTCTCTTTCTGCTGAGCCCAAGAGGAAGATGTTTGCTGAGCTCGACAGGAATGTAGATATCCCCTGCCTTGCTACAGGTACACTGTGTGTGTGTGTGTGTGTGTGTGTGTGTGTGTGTTTATTTGCATCACCTCACTGCGCACTCTTCTTCCACAGTGGCTTAATGGCACCTACCTGGAGAATTAGTGCCGTCAACTGTTTATCTTAATGCACCTAGTTCTCAATATTTGCATAAGAGGAGCAAATGGAAGCATAGTTACCTCCTTCTTCTCTGATCTATACTGTATGTCAATGGAAACTTGACTGGAGAGAGTGGAGGGGTGAGACAGGTGATACAGATGGACATGAGGGCACACACATGAAGACAATCTCTTCTTAAAATCATTGATGATGTTGCACTTGGTTGTGGTTAAAAGTTACAAAAATGACAAAAGTTGTCATAAGAATAGAAGAAGAGAATTTAAGAGAAAAGGTCAGATGTCACCTACTCACACACCTCCGTGTACCTTTCCAGGTTTTGTAGTAAGTCTGAGGTGTAATAGTTTACTTTCAGAACGTTAAACTTGGTATACGTACTGTAGCTCCCCTGGTTGTATCGTCAGAAGGGTGTCGGGGGGAGGTTGTTTAACTACCCAGCAGCCCTTAGTCTGAAGCAGACTGGGGCTCTGTCTCAGGTGTGTGACCATGTGAGTCACAAATGAATTCTCATATGACTACTTTATATCTTAATTGACTATCAGAATAGTTTCTAATTTACTGTAGGTGTGTGACAGCGCGAGGCAGACTGGTCCTGTCCGCGCATTCACGTGCACACACCACACACACTTAGTGTATGAGAGCCGGGAAAGTTTGTGTCTATGTTTCTGGAGTCAGATCGGGATCAGTGTGAGTCCTGTTTTGAGAGATTAGCAAATGAACAGACAAGGTGGAAAATTATTTCAGTAGCGCATTTCATGACCAACGTTTATACGGCCACTCGTTTTACTGATTGGGATTAAAGTGCGCCACATGCTGCACAGAGGGATGGTGTCCTCAAAGGTGTTCATTTTTGTGATCTCCAAATCTCTAAATGATTGTAATTTCTTTATTGCTGGATGGAGTTTGGTGATAGACTAGCAGTCTCCTTCTGCCATTTGTCCATTGTATGTGTGTGTGTGGAAGCTGTTGCAGAGTGTGACAGGCAGTCAGAGAAGAAAGGTGCACGAGCATTGCAGTTTTTTTTTCTTCTTCTATACTGGTAATAAGCAAATGTGCATGGTAAGATAACCATCAATTACCATATCATGGTATACCATGAAACCTGTATACTGCTACAACCCTAGTACTCACCACTGCAGACCAGGACCACCCAACAAGACCTGCAGTCTGGGAGATGCTCTGACCCAGTTGTCAGCCATCACAGATTGGCCCTTGTCAAAGTCACTCACATCCTTATGCTCACCCATTTTTCCTGCTTCAGACACGTCAACTTCGAGGACTGAATGTCCACTTGCCTAGTATACCCCACACACTGACAGGTGCCACTGTAATGAGATAATCAGTGTTACTCACGTCACCTAACAGTGGTCATAATGTTATGGCTCATCGGTGTATATTTATGTTGTTTATGTCTGTGCAGCAAACAGCAGGTTTTGGTCCTGGTCTTTGTACAAGTATCTGCTGCTAAGAGTGTGTCACTGTCACCAAGTTGTGCTGAGTTTTTTTGTCATTCAGTAGGAGTTAGTTTGAAGGCTTCTTGGACAGTGACACTCTACTTTTGGCAGTATGAGCAGATTAACAGGCTGAGTCCAAGTCTATAAATTGCACTTGTTTGACTCTTGTTTTTAAAGGGATTACATGAAAACAATTATATGAACAGGGGTGGACACAGCACTAAAAACTGCAACATACGCCTCTCTTTCACACACACACACACACTGAGCGAGTTTATGTTCCTCCTCAGTAATCTGATACGGTGGCAGAGTAATTAAATAGCAGAGGCCTGAGGGTATGGAGCGAGGGGTGGAGGCTGGAAGGAGGAACAGGGGAAGGAGGAAAGGCAGAGTGACAGAGTGAGTGAGACATGGAGGGGGTGAAAAATACTTCACACTTGTCAGTGAAAGCTTGACACCAACAGATTGAGGAAAAGTGTGGAATTCATCTCTCCCTCCCTGAAACACCCACCGCCTCGCACCCACACACACATTGGCGTGGAGGGTTGAGCCAGAGTAATTGCATGAGCCCGCTGTCTGTCATATCTGGCATGTCCGTCAGACAGGTGGATGCTGATGCTGTAGATATTCGGTGTACTGCTCTTGGCCACATCTTTTATTCAGAATGTTTTTAGGCCCCTTCTGCCACCCTTACCCTACCACCCACACCCTGCAATCAATATATTATTAGGAGTCATTATGTCTGCATGCATATTTATATGGAGAGAGTGGATAACAGAGAAGAAGGACTGGCATAAAGAGTGTATGTAGCTGTTTTAGTGGGAGTTGGAGCAGTTTGCTCAGCAGTTAGGTCATCGGGCTTGTTATTAAGGAAATTGAAAAATATCTCCCTCTGCGTGTTTTTTTTTTTTCATGCACATGTACATGTGTAGGTGTGCCCCAGCCCAGGATAGAGTGGTATAAAGACACAGTACCTCTTTCCAAACTGGCCAACCCTCGCTACAAGGTCACCACAGCAACCGGGCTGACGGTGCGCAGGGTGCAGCCTGGAGACGGAGGAATATTCCAGTGCTTCGCTCGCAACGCTGCTGGAGAGACCCAAACACACACACAACTCCTTGTTTCCAGTGAGTTTACCTGACAGACACACAAGAAAGCACGTCTTGTACATACACACCTACAGCAGCATTGCTCATGCTCTCAAGCCATTGTTCACTGATTTCTCCCTGTCTTGATACCACTGTTTTCCTTTGTCTCTTCCCCATTTATTTGAATTTAATCTTCTACTGTACTTTTTATGTTCTGTTACGTACTGTTATGCTGTTATACACTGTAGTTTAGTCTCCAGAACATCATCTTCTAAATGAATCCATTATTTTTCCATCCATCAATCAGCTTTCTGTGCTCCTTATCCTGTCTCCTGTCAAATAAGACAAAGAAAAGCAGGAGGTTGAGAAGCTGGATGTCATGACTCCTGGCAACTTCCTGTCACACACTCAGTGTCTACGTCCCCAGTCAGCATTCATTCCTTGCTGGTTTGTTAGTCATTCTGGCCACTCACCTGTTTGGCTTTTCTCCTGCTGCCCTGATCATCCACCTGGTTTCAACCTGCTCTCTGCTGATTCAGAACCTGATTCAGCTCGCCCCTCGTCTGGTTTTGTTTGCCAAACTGAGACTCACCTGTCTGTTCAGTCACCTGCCTGCTTGGCTGTCCCTTGTGCCTTTATTGGGGTATGAACTGTTGCTACCTTAAAACTCCCCTCCCCCTGCTCTCTAAATCAATCACGACACTGTGGCTCTGTAGAGACAGTGAGTACCTACCTGCCACTTCCTCCCTGAGCTATACCTACCTGAAGTTATATGAGAAGTTACTCTTAGCTCCAGTCTGTGTTTCTGTCACTTGCTTGTATTAAATCACCATTTACCTTCCACCTTAATCTTCCATCAAATGCATCTGGGTTCTAAGAATAGAATCTAGAATCCTCACTGGAAGTAGAATGTTTTTACTTGAAAAGCAGCTGAAATGCAATAGATATTATTTTTAATTATGCTTATTTTTCTGCCGATTGACTAACTGATTAGCAGACTAATAGCTCCAGCTGTGCCATCCCACTTGATCCTCTACATTTGGCCCACCATGCATGCAGACATTTCTTAATTTGCATTGCAGACAGTATGTCAACAGTTCAGTCACAGCTCAGCCTGAAACAAAATGCCATTTTGCTTTTGAAATTCAAGGTTAAGTCTATGTCTGTTGAATGTTCTACCTTGACTTGATGGTTTGCAGTGTATCAGCTCCAAAAGTCTGCATTTACTTTTTTTTCTCTGTAGACTCTGTTCTGTTTAGTGAGCATTGGATTATAATTAAAAGTCCCCATGGATCTGCTACACCACCTTCCAGATTTATGCACATACACGTAGCACTAGGTAATGAATACAGCCTCCATTGATCACAGAGGATGCATTGGTGTTTAGATGAACACTTTCACCCATTCTTTTTCAATTTTTCTGTTTTCTCTTCACCATTATGTTTCACTGCTACTTCTCTCTTCTCCCACCATTGTCATCTTCCTTCCTCTGAGGCGCTCTCTCTGTGTTTCAGGTGCCGCCCCCACATTTACACTCCCCCCATCTGACCAAACAGTAACTGATGGCATCACAGCCTTGTTTACCTGTCAGACGAGTGGAGCTCCAAAACCTGCCATCACCTGGATCAAAGGTATCAGACAACTCACACTGTATTACACACCAAAACACACAGACACAATGTGTTTGTAATTAAAAATGTGCTTAATCACCAAGTTACCTTTCCTTCATCTCAAGGCTATTTTACTGTTTCTCTGTCTCTGTGAAGGATCACAGGTCTTAGCCAGCGGCTCTGTCCGGGTGCCCAGATTCACACTCTTGCAGTCAGGTGGTTTGCAGATTCAGCCAGTCAGCTTCCAAGATTCAGGGGAATACACCTGCATCGCCTCCAACTCAGAGGGAACCATCAACACCACCGCCACACTCACCATCTGGAGTAAGCTGCCTATATAGTACATGCACACTATGCACACAGAACAAAAAAGCACTCAACTGCTCAACATTAACTAAACAGACTCAAACAGACACGGGGCACTAATTTATCCATAGCTGTCTGATGGCATTAGCTCAGGCTAGTGAAGAGCATCGTGATTGGTTATTGATGCAGTGGGCAGGGGCAACGGTGAAATAATCATCTGATTGGCCAGATCAGAGGATGATTGATTAGCTATCCTCACAGCTTCAGGTTAAATGCTGTTGAGTTAGATTATCTGCAGTCCTCTGTTGAGCGTTGTGATGGTTTAAAAACTATACTGAAGTATCGCAGGCCTGGTCGCCCAACAATATGGTGCCTGAGTAATAAGACATAAAAGAAGCCCTCTACACTGCATCCACATTTATTTTTCACCAGGGCACTATTTTCATTCCAGGTTCTAAATAATGAAATGGTTAAACCAAGGTAGAACAAAGCACAAATAATATGATAGACTAAGCAGTTTTCTATGTCACTGTAAGTGTGTGCACATGTGTGTGTATATCTGGGAAGCATGCTTGTGTACTGTTTAGCCTCGATAATTCAGGGCTAAACTATAAAGTATTTAATTTGCATTGTTTTGGAGCAGCATACGTTTAAATGTAATTTTAAATAAGACATGATAATATAAGAGGAGAGAGCTAAACAAAAGTAATGTCAACTTCTCCATTTATCTCACATGTGGTTCTGCTTCGTCTCCTTTCTCTGGCTCTCTGGTTGTTATTTTGCAGGTCGTACAGTCATTTCTGTGCCTCCAACAGACCGCCGTGTTATCAAGGGAACCACCGCTATTCTGCACTGCAACGCTACACATGACCCTAGAGTCAATATCAGGTACCTGCTTGTCACATCTATGTTTTTTTTCACGTGTACCTAATCTCATATCATCTGGTTCTTTTCTCTGTATTTCATTGCTTTCACTGCTTTGTTTGTCTGTAAACCTCTCTGTTGCAGCTTCAAGTGGGATCGTGGTGGTGTGCCAGTATTTCCTACCGGTGGGGGCCGTGTCTCTGTGCGCCAGGGCTCCCTCACTATCGGCCAGACGTGGTCAGGTGACATTGGGGATTACACCTGCACTGTGACATCACAGGCTGGCAACGATTCTCGCTCTGCACGCCTTGAAGTAATGTGAGTTCAAAGAATCATGCAAGCTGTTTTGAGCATGTCAGCTAATTCCTGGATGCATTGTTTTAAACACTGGCACACGAGGGAGGGGGAAAAGGTCATTTTTACACTTTTTTTGCACAGATTAAACGCATAAGATACAGTATAGAGTGTAAGTAAGTTTACCTTTTAACTTTGTACAGAGCACTTAATTCTCAGCAAGAAAGCAGAGAAGAATATGTCCTAAAATAGTTTCTTAAGCTGTGATGATTATTTATGTTCTGTGTGACCTTATGGTTTTGTCTTTTTCCTTGTGATTAGACACAAGGACGACTTTGACATGGACCATCAGTCCATAGCTACTGTAGCTACTTCAACTCAAATTACAGATATGATTGACAAGGAGGATGCTTCGAGATCACACATAGAAATAACAGACATACTGACTCTGCAGAACATAATTCAGGAGAAGCAGCACAGTGGCAACCTGTAATTTCATTAAAGCCGCAAGGTGTGAAAGTGTGGCCCGTTCATGTGATTTGTTAGACAGCAGTAATAGTAATGTAACGTCATAGCTGCTGTCAGGTGCCCGGTACATGCAGAACACACTCTACCCTGTGAAACAGCAACAGTATTAGTCTTTGAGTATAAAATTTGTACATACGGTACAGTGCGTTCGTGTGCATTGATCAGGTTTGCGTGAAACATTCCACACGTCACATTGTGTGTCTGCTATGAGCACGCATTCCTGACACTCAGATTAAAACATTTCACTCAGATATTTCATGCGTATATTTGCTACATATTTTACTTTCTGGCCCTCACAACTTCATTACAGGGAAGATTATCAGGTAATAACCTTTATATATTAATAGGCACTTGTATAATATATTTATGAAAGGCATTTATGATATATTAATACAGTTACAGGGGAGAATGCGAGTCCACGTCCTTATGAATTATAGAATGATGATAGGTTATACATGTCAAACTTAGAGGGAGGGAATGGCTCCGTGTTTATGGCTGTGCAGTAACGTGGGGATCGTGGGAGTTTCTGCATGACTGTACAGTATATGTGTGTTTGGGTATGGGTAGCCACATGTGTGACTGACACGTTCGTTAGCTCGGTATCAGTGGGTCATAGAGGCTAACAGGCACTGGCGGCTGAGGAGACAGACTAATTACCAGCAGGTTATTGGTTCAACTCCCACAAGACCCATCCATGTGTTTGTCAGTGTGTGTGTGTGTGTGTGTGTGTGTCTGTGCATGTGTTTTGTGTAGGCTGTGTGAAGATAGTAGCTCTAGCATTCTCTAAGCTCATCCATTAATTAATACGATCATGTCAACTCAGAAAAGAAAACATCATTCTCATTTCCCCTTGCTCCCTCTCTGCCTCATTCACTGCCGTCCTTGCTTCTGTGTTACTCTCCCTCCCTTCCTAACGTTATGTCTTAGTCTTCATTCATCTCTCTGCTTTTCCCTCATTTTCTGTCTTGATACCTATTGAATATTAAAGTGTCAAACCATACACAAGCAAAAATTTAAACAGAAAAATGACTAAGCACCTGCAGCTTTCCAGAAGAGGCCCCCTTTTCAAAGTATTCACACATTAATGGTTTTTCAGTAATAATGATTGAGCTTATGAATATGAAATGGAGCTGGTTTAGGGATGAGTGGCCATGGGTGTCATCGTGCTTTCAGTGTAAATATATTTATTTTGTTCTTTTTTTTGTGCCTTGTTAATGTCCTCACTCCTGTTATTGCTTCTAACACCTGTAGCCACAGAGAGACGCGGAGATCTGCTTGGCCTCGCTCAAGACAGAGAACTGTGATGCAGTAAAATCAGTATAATCAAATGTCTGGACATCTTTATCGCTTCCATGAATGTGTTGCTTTCTTACAAACATGACAGGGGATGACCAAATCTCTGGTGAATTTCTTTTTAATAAATGTGGTATCTTTGTAATGGCGCAGAACACACACAGAATAAAAGATCACAATAAAAATCTGCCAAACACAGGCATATTTAAAAGATATCGCCCACTGGAACTGGTCATGGACCAAACCCAAGAAGGAACCTGCCTGTCAGAGCCAACATTATTTCAACATATGAGTCAGAGAAAAGCAAAACACAGGAAACAAATATCAGTCTAATGAAAAGTCAGAGCACCTTGTCACACACTCGAGACACAAATGCATGAATGTGTTACATGTTCAAGCACACTCTTCTCTCATGATGTGGATGTTAAAGGAATAGTACAACAATTTGGAAAGTATGTCAAAAACCAAAGTGTAAAGTAGTTTTATGTGGATTACCTGCTAAAATATGACACATTAGTGTGATGTTGGAGATGTTGTGTACTTTAATGCATGTCAACATTTGTGTTGAAGTTCTGACTGAGACCCTGAATAGAGTCTATGGTTCAGTGTAGTCCCAAAACCCCAGTTTAATGGATTCACTGTACTGTTACTTTGTGAGTGCATAGTAACTTAATGTTTAACACAACAAGCTCTGCAAACATATAGCTGTCTACAATTGTCCAGTGACTGGTAATTATTAGCTCTATCCATGGGACTCTTCTTTCCCATCTCTACCAACAACCAGCATAATGTGAACGCAGCAATAGCAACACATCTTGTCATGAGTGAGCGTTAGACGGACTGGTAGGCAGATTTTGGATGTACTGGACCAGGCTAGCTGTTTTCCTGCCTGTTAGCTAAGCTACAGGGGCGGCACAGCGGTATGGTGATTAGCACTGTCGCCTCACAGCAAGAAGGTTCCGGGTTTGAGCCCCGGGCCTTTCTGTGCTGAGTTTGCATGTTCTTCCGAGCACTCCGGCTTCCTCACAGTCCAAAGACATGCAACTTAGGTTGATGGGTGATATATTTTTCTACAGACTTTGCCAAACAAATATAAGTAAAACTAAGAGTATATGTGATGTTTTGTTGCATTTTTGTGTCCAGTGAGCTGCCACACTCCCCTCGTTCCCTGATGGCCCGTCTCAATGACTCCGACTCCCGCTCCGTCCTCCTGTCCTGGCTACGCCCCTTCGATGGGAACTCTCCTCTTCTATACTACCTGCTGGAGCTATCTGAGAACAGTATGTGTACTGTGTGTGTGTGTGTGTGTGTGTGTGTCTGTGTGCGTGCATCCCTTGGCACTTCTTTATAGTCCCTTAGCCGCAAACAGCTGTTCACTTGCTGTCTACCACTCACTCACTCTCACACACTTACAAGAGGCAGACATATGGGGAATGGTGTTACTGCATTAATGTTCATCCAGGTTCTCCATAAATAAACTCTTATTTTCCCTCCCTCCCTCACCCTCTCACTGTCTCTCACCCTATCTCTGCCACAGATGTTTAACAGCAGGCTGGCTCTCTGTTAAACGATAAATATAGGAGAGAGGGATTGAGGAATAGAATGATAGGAGAAACAGATTGGAGTGTGCTGGCCGTAGAGCTGTTCATACACCTGCTGTAACCTAAGGAGATGGAATGGATTGGTGACCATTACATGCAGAGCCAAGCGCTCGGCAAACAAGCTGGACTAATGGACAAATGTCAGATGTTAATGTGGTCTGACATTTTAAGCTGTCGTCATTC